AACCCCAACAACAAACAAATCTAGAATAACATAAAAGAGATCACAGTTGCTTCATTTTATGTTCCGTGGACTAACAGTGGCTGCAAATTACTGAGCTCTTATGAAGACACTGTGGTGGAATTTATACCCATTATTTCTGACGTGTGAATCAAGAATGTAAGACGAGGGCTGCTGAGTTTATTATTATTACTGGCATTTTTCAAATTGAGGTAACACTGGTTTGTAACATGGTGTAAGTTCCATGTGTACAGCATTATACTACAACATGTGTATGTAACATCGTATGAGCACCACAAAAGTCTAGTTTCCATTTTTTAAAGCAAGCAAAATTTCAGAAGCAGTATATTTGTGTGTGTTAGTAATTTGTTGGTTAAAATGAAGTACAGGGAGGAATGAAAATACAAAAGGCAGAAACAGTGGTCCAATAAGTTGAATTTTTCCCAAATAAAAAAGGAAGAAATTTTCCTAGTGTCTAATATAGTACCTACTACAGCTCTCTGCACAAAAAGGCCCATTTCAATACTTTCATATGGTTGGTAGGTAATGAAAATATTAAAATAAGATTTCATGAAAAAAAATTTAAACCCTCATGAGACTGAAAGTACAGGACATAATGGAAAGTTAAGAAATTATCAAAATTAATCTTTGCATCTATTCTTATCAGACATAAAGTAGGTTTAATTAAAATTACCACTTGAAAATACTGCTTTAAGCAAGAATCTCAAATAATCAAGCCCCTCAGCCTATTATGCATTCTGTAGTTTAACAAACTGTTAATTCATAGTCTCTATCTCACAGAAGCTTTTCTTTCAGACTTAAGTTTTAGGAATTAACCCTCTACATTTTATAGCAATGCTCCCCTTCCCCTTTTTAAATAAAAATAGCACCCCTTGTGATTGACCTATGAATTTTTCCAAAAAATACTGAATAGTTGAGACACAGCTAGGTTTTAGAACATTATTTTTTTAGTGGAAAGAGATTTTAGTAGTCATTTACCACAGTCCTTTAATTGTATAGACACTGAGGGTTAGGGATAGCGATGTATTTACTTATTCACACATAGAAATATGTATTTTACATCAAGAACTGGAAGGCAACTAGAAATAAAAATTGTTTAAATAAAGATAAGATTACAGGCAATGTTTTTCCTTAAAATGACCCCTATTGTTGATTTACAATTGAAAAATGCAATATACCGCATTGTAGCTAAAAGCTATAAACTGTATTTCATGTCATTAATTGTAACACTAAACCCAAATGAAAGTTTAGAATAAACAGGAAAGACAATCACTCATAGTCTTTTTTTAAAATTCCCTGTAATACATTTTAGCTATGAAATTTCCTCACTTAAAATTCCTCTCAATATTTTTATTGTAAGCTTATTCTTGTCAAATACTCAAACCACAAACTTTAAATATTTGATTTAAATAATTCTTTTTAAAACTCTGTGTCCATCTCTCTGGAAGTACTACTTTGCTAAACCTGCATTTTCAAAAGCACTCATTCCTTTCTGATAACTAGCAACATGTGGACTTTGAGGCCACAAGAAAGGGGTGCACAGTCTTTACACTTCATTTAAATACAGCACAACCTCAGAAAATAATCTGCCACTTCCTTGACGTTAAGTAGTTTTTCTAACAACAACAGCAAACCCCCATGCTGTTCTGGTAGTTGACGACTGGTGAAACGCCTCTATTCTTCACTCTGACACATACAAAGTCACAGCTAAATGATAAGTGATTTGAATGAACGGAAGTCATGTAAACGTGTTTTGGAAGTATGTTTATTTTGTTCATTTTGTTATTAACATATCCTCACAGCAATGTGAAATGTCACAAAAACGAATTATGTCAGAGTAATGAAGTTGCTCAAACCCCTTAACCTAGAACTCCTGGCAAATTAACTGAAAAAAGCAGTATTTTAAAAAGTGAAATATGTGCATGAACACTCACTGCATGTGATATTATAAGAATAAACAGTGGTTATATGATAATAACAAACTAGAAACATTCTAAAAACTACTTAGTAAATTATGTAATCGCTAAGTTATCACTAAGATGGGCTCTGTGGCTACTATGGCAGATCCAGACGCCAGGCAGACACAAAGAAAAATGTCTGTGACCTCACAAAGAAAAAAGCAATGACATTAAATATGCTAAGTAACCCCAATGTTAGTATGTAAAAAAATGCATACCCATTAACAAAAACTGGAAGAAACGATGCAGAAGTAAGGAAAGTGGTTTATGTGTGATTAAGGATGGTCTTTTTACTTTAAAAAATACTTCCAGAACTTTTCAGTAACAAAGAAATGAGTCTATTAAAAAATATTAATGTAAAAAGAAACAAATGTAATGGCCAGAATTCAAAGGAAAAAGTGATTTGTCCTAGTTCCTCATCTTGTTTCTAAACGCACCACCTACCCACCTTAAGGTTTTAAAGGCAAACATTATCTACACTCCGATCCTGAAGCCTGGAGTTCCTACACAGCAGGATAGCCAGCCAGCGAGTTATTGACAGAAGGCAGGACTGAACTTTGCATGTGAGCACATACAGAAAATGATAAAGATCGTCGTGTCCTATTAGTAATTTACAGAATTGTGATTTGCTCCACCCAGTGCACCTATAATTGAATTCCTCAGCCATAAAATCATTGGGACCAAACAAGTTCAGATATCTTTTATCTAAACCTTTTTTCTTCCTTACCATCAGTTAACATATTTCTTATGGGGCTTTTCTTCTTTTTATAGATTCATTTGCCTTAGTTATAAATTAACCCCAGAAGCAACTCTCCCAACCACCCAGCTCCACTGCTCCCTGGTCACCAGGTTTCTTTCTGCTTGCACAATTTATGACATGGGGGTCACTCAAACCGAAGTTGGTAAATGATGTCCAGGGAATCATCTCTGGATTGGAAAAAAAAAATTCCTAAGGATAAATGCCTCCAAGCAGAGATTCCCCTCATAGCTGGACACCCTGGCAAAAAAGTAGAATGTAACTGCTGAAGACTTCTGCTATTTCATTTTTTACTTTTCCTTTATTTACTCACTATTTTAACTAAAGTAATGCTGCATTATTTACTTTTTAAAATTTGGGCAAAATATACATAGTATGGAGTTTTACCATTTTAACCATTTTTAATTGTATGATTCATTGACATGAAGCACATACCTGCTCCTGACTTCCTCTTGCAAGGGTTTGGTTGTTTTTTTTATTTTAACTGGCTGTAGGTTTTTCTAAACTTAAAACCTGATTTTTCTGTGCCCTGGTGGCGCAGCAGTTGAGTGCTGGGCTGCAGGGCTGCACACAGCCTCTGCAGCACTGGTTCGATCCCCGGCCACCAGCGAGGCTCCTACATGGCGCAGCAGACCTCTCCTGCCTCGCCTGCTGCTCCCCTCAGCAGTGTATTTCGTCAGTCTGCCTGTTCTGTTCCCCGCTCTGTCTCTGGTGAATCCTCTCACACACACCCCCAACACACACTTCTGGCCTGTACCCCAGTTCTTGTATGCATAAATAAATAAATCTTTAAAAAAATTTAAAAAAACATCCAGTGAAAATCTAATGAGGATGTTTTCTATTTGGTGACTCCAATGTGACCTTTAAAGAAGCTTTAATTCTGAAATAACTTGAGGAATATGGAAAAGCCACACAGATAGCAGGGAAAGTTCCCATGTGCCCTTCGCCTGACCTGCCTGCTGTAGTATCACAGCCTCAGTTCCACTGAAACTAATAGTGACTTTACACAGTTCTGTAAATGATGTTCTGTGCATCCCATTAATGCCCTATTTTTGGTTCCAGAATCCAATCCAGAATCCTACACTGTATTTAGTTGCCTAACTGCCTCCAAGTCTGTAGTATTTCCAATCTTTTTAATTCTTACAGCTAAAGCTAGATTGCAGTAGAGTTGATATATACATTCATTTCTCTGATACCTTGAAGAATGATGGCAGGTATTTTGCAGACTGTATTTCCATGTAGGTTTGTCTAAAGTTTTCACGTGATTTAACTGAAGTTATGGATTTGGGGGAAGAATACCAAAGACCTTCTGTGCTCTTTCCAGGACATCTTATCAGAGGGTATGTGAGCTCCATATGGCTTTTAAGTATGGATATTAACCTTGATCACTTGGTTAAGGTGGAATCTCCCAGACTTCTCCACTGGAAAGCTACAATCTCTCTCTGAAGTTTAATAAATATTTGGGGGAGATACTTTGAGGTTGTGTACATATTCTACTTTTCCTACCACTTTTACCCACTAGCATTAGTATTCATCAGTGAGCCTGGGATGCAGCAATTATAACTGTGATTCTCTGGTGGCGATTTTCTATTACCCTCATTCCTTTTATATTTACCAATTTAAATTCTATTGTAAGGAAAAGTTCTCCTCCTTCTGTTTACTTATTCAAATATTCAGTCATTTATACCAGTATGGAATCATGTACATATATTTGGAGGGTTGTAATCCAATACTACAGTTATTTTGGTACTCAAATTATTCCAGTTTTAGCCATTGGGAGCTAGAATAATTTGAGTAATAGCATAAACATCTATAGTACTGGATTATAACTTCCCCATAAACGATTATACCTGAGCATTGGCTGTTGGAGCGACTTTCCCCTTTGGGACAAGGGATCATCGTTGCCTGTCCTCCAAGAAGCCAGGCAAGGTATTTTAATTCCTATTTCAATTTAATTATAATAGGAATATAAATTATCTTTATTTTATTTTATTTATTATCATAGGAATATAAAATAATGCATTTGAGACTTATTTCTAAGAATCTGAGTTATTTTTCAACTTCTAGGTCACTTTGCTATCTTTGTTTTGTCTTACACAAAACAACTGACTGGTAACAACAAAGTAGAAGGTATCCTGATAGTCAAAATAAAAGCCCCTTAAGCAATTTTGCAATGAAATACTATAAAGATTCTTCATGTTCATTAAAAAAAAGAAAAAGATACTTTAAAACACAAATTTGGAACAGTAAATTCGGAGTTTACATACCGTTAAAGGGTGGCTCTCGTTTGAGAAAAAGGCTTTCTTGAATATCTGTGGCTTAGAGTTGACTTCTTTCAAATCTGGAAAATTAAAAACAAAAATTTTAATATTTACACATATTCAAACTTCTTAGAAACCTAGGCTGCCAAAATGTACAACCACAAATAAATGTATTTTCTCTGTTGGATTTTATTCTGAATATTTGCCTCCCCTGAGCTTATAATGCTTTGCATTCCCTGTAAATTGCACAGGGCTAGGAGATCTTCCACTGATCACAAGTCCTTTATCGCCTCTGTCTCACACACCTCCATTATTGTGTAGACTTCAGAAAGCCAGATCTCAAAAGGATGAATCATCTTAAAAGACAGATGTTTGACAAAAATGTATAGATAGCAAAATACTCATTAAAATATAGCCTTATTCTAGATGGCACCTGGCTGTGAAGCTCAGGTAAAGGTAAAGTTGTGCGTCCACCGTTTTGGGAAGGTGGATGGAGCACAGTCCAAGTGCAGCAGATTTTTAAAAGGAGGACCCATGGAGCAGATTAGCTAAGTAAACGTGTCTATTGTCTTAGGATTCATATCCTTGGCTCTTACAAAGGGCTGAGGTATCCTAGAATAGCTGTGCTACATTCCATAAAGACAAAACAGCACCCAGTGCCAAAAGCCTTATCATCGGCGCCTTAATGGTCCCAATAACATTCAGATACAACATTCTGCACAGTCTAATCTACAAAAAATACTCAAATTTTTACTTTTTAAATTCTGCACCTTTTGGTTTGGAATTTGCAGAATCTATTCTGTCATCCTATGCATAGTATAGAATCAGCAGATCATGAGTATAAAATACTTTTCCATTTTGGTGTTCTGAAAAAAATATGAACTATGGTCAATGTATTTTGTATGATTGTTTTATATTTGCTTGGAAATTATTTTCAATATCAATGACAAAGTAACAATTTTGTTTTCAGAATGGGAGATAGTCTCCTACAGAAAGAGCTAAATTTGTCAGTGTTTTGGGTCTGTATGTTTTATTTTCTGACTGACCATGGACCTATCTCATAGCAATTTACATAAATGCCAAGCTGTTAGTCAAAACAAATGGTATGGCCACACCAAAACTGTTCATGCAGAACATTCGAGAAACAGCTTTACAAAGATTACCACTTTAGCTTATGAGCTTTAGAGTCAAATAAAAGGACTGAAATATGTAAAACAAAAGGAAAGAATATTAATAAAAGATAAATTTGAACAAAACTTTATCTGAAAAATTAAAGAAGGCTGAGCTCAGGTTCAGATTGAGTAATACTGGCTTAACTGGGCACTTATCCCATCTCCTCTTTGAAATATGTATGAATTTGTTAAGGAGTAGTTGGGAAATAAAAATTCTGGAAACTGCTAACTATTCCTCACTTGTCACCCTAAGTCTTGGATCACACAGAAAACTAGGCATCTCCTGTGATTTTTCAAAGGCAACACAATTCTATAACCTTTCCCAAAACCCTGCCTCACCACTAAGACCAGTTATCTCTTTTCTGTATTCATTCAACATTTCTTTGCACCATAGAAGATATAGTTTCCAAACATAAAGTAGAGCAGGAACAAGATCTATCCTGGGAATAATATATTTCAAGGGCTATAGTTCTACCACATTCTCCATCTGGCCAGTAAAACACAAAATGTTGATATTCATTGGATTATAAATCCTTCTACTCATCCCTCAAGTCAGAGAATGGGGCTATGAAGAGAGCAGACCAGCCCCTCAGCAGAACCCACATTAAATAGGAGCTGTTCATATCTACTCACCCAACTTTTTTCTATTGGAGAGAGGGTTTTTATAAGGATCAGGCCAAAAGGGAATTAACTTAGACTACTTTGTCTGAAATAGTATCAATGGTAAATGTTGATATAAATAATTAGAAATGGAAATTATTGAAAACTTATTAAAGAATTACTTTCCCATAAAGTTCTGAGTCTAGATGCTTTTTAAATGAATTTTTGCCACATGAACTATTTCTGTGTAGAAATTTTTCAAAAGTAGTATCATATTAGTATTAAAATCTAATAAATAGAGAGAAAAATGCCAGTTCCACTATTAATATTGATTTTAATACATAAAATGCTAAGGAGAACAGTTCTATATCAAAAGAATAAACCATCATAATCAAACCGGATAAATCCAAACCTAAAATACACTAACATACAGCAAAACAGGACTGCTGTGATATAGGATTGAGTGATAAGAGGACAAATTTTAAAAGAAAAACAGATGACTAGCTCAAAAAATGCAAAAAACAAAAACCTCAATAAAATTCAGCATCTATTTTTGCCAGTATTTCTTCTGAAAACTAAGAAGCTTTAGTAACAAGAATATTTATTTCAAATTTACAGCCAGTATCATCTTAGTTATGAAATACTAAAGCAGCATTTCCCAAAAGCTATTCCTTAAGATTTTTCAACAAAAAAGGTTCTACCATAAAACGAATTTGTTTTGCTCTTTCTTGAGATTAATAAAGTACATTAGCATTGCATGTACTCTACAATTTTAAAAACTGTAATTTTAAATTATAATTTAAAAAATTTATCCACCAAAATTTTTTTTTAATTAGCAACAATCATACCCTTAATCATTTAACTCAATAGTTCTGTAATTTAAACATTTGTTTATTCACTTTCATTATCTCATTCTTTAAGCCACTTCACTGTAGTTTCTGTCATCCACCTTTCTACTGAAACTCAAGCAAAAGTGACAAGTTTTCTCCTTGCTAAAAATCCATTAGACTTTGCTTAATTTATATTCTTTCTCTAATGGTGTGCTAATAAATGTTTAACAGCTTGCTCTCCTTGCAAGCAAAAATATCTAACTTACAGTGTTGGCCAATTTCTGTGGTGTAAACACTCCCACTAAAACTGACTTCAAGCTGCCAGTGTGATGTCACTGGGTGCAGAGGTGGGAAGGGCTGATACAGGGGCCTACAACATTTACAGTTAGGTTTACCCCACTATCCAAAAGAGAGTTCCTATGAAACCCTTCATAAGCCAAAATGATGTAAAATGAAGAAGCAGTTTCCAGTAATTTATAGGGAAAAAACTTTGAACTTTCCCAGACCCAAAAACCAACCAACCAAATGATACCAAACAACATTCAAACCCTAAAATACACTAACATACAGCAAAGCAATATTGCTGTGATAAATATATAGCTTGCACAGAGTAGTTCCTGGGGAAGGAGTCTGGTAGAGCCACTCTTGCCTCCTGGAGTGCCACTGCATCTCGACAGACAGCTGCAAAACAAACACTAAATGCTGTTTTCACTTTTCACCTTCTGTTGTAAAAGCCAAAATCCTCTTTGAATTCCATTTCATCAGTGACATTTTTGAAAAGTAAAGTGGAATAATGGGAACTTTCAAAAAACAGCAAATACTGATACCCTATATTTCCACCACATAGGTACAATCAACACCTCAACACTGCAAAATAATTTGGATGAGAGGTGGCTGGTGTGTTTATTACCTTTGTTTCTAACAACACTTGCTTAATTGCAAGAATATATGGTTTAAATTTTAATAATGACTCTACAACTTGCTCACAAAAATCCGGAAAAGTTCGCCATCAGCTTTCACAAGCTGTTCTGAGCTGGCTCCAAGACCTACTGTCTGCCCTTGCGATATTTGATTTTTTTGTCCATTCTCAACTGTTGAGACCATCTCCTCCCATAGCTACCCAGAGACCAGAGTCCCCTAATTCTTATCCTGCCACATCATGGCTATTTGAGTCATTTTCCCTGGTTCCTCTTCAGTCTGAGCTTTTCTGCTTTATCTGTTCTGAAAGTTCCTTCTAGGCCTCACTCTTAGCCCTACACACTCTCTTGCTTATACTTCCCAAATTTCTCTCTAACCACAGCTCTTCTCTCAAGAGTTCTAAAGCGGTCTTTTTTTTGAACCCCCCTACCTGTGGTCATTCCTAAATGTTGTAGGTACCTCAAACTCAGTATCACTCAAACTGACTTTCTTCTCCCCCTCAAGAATAAATGTACAGTTCAACACACAATTGCACTATTCTTTATTTCCTGCAAGAGTCAAAGGAATTCCACTCTACTCAGGTTTTTCAAAATAAAGGAGATTCAATTCATGACCACAAGTGACCTTTCTCATGGCATCTCCCTTCCCTTAAATCTTTTTCATACACTATACTCTCCAGAATGTCTTCTTTGCCAAAGCCCCCCCGCCCCGCAAAACAGTTCTCTTTCCCCTGCCCAGTGAATTCATAATCTCTCCTTCCCTGTACCTTATTATGTATATTAACATAAATCTCTTCTCCAGTCCTTCTGATTTTCCAATACTCCATAGAAATCTAGGAACTGATCCAGTAAGATCAATTTTTCTAAGGCCTTTACTATCAAATGAAAATTCTCTTCACTGGATTGGAAGAAAATAAAAGTATATGAACTAATGACTAATGACTAATCTTTATCCCACCAAACTATATAAATACATGGGTCTGCCATCTTGACCCTTCCCCAAAGGGCTGACTGGCTCCATTAAAGGCAAACCTCAAGATGGGCTCATTACATCCTGCCTTTGATTTCTATATTGAAAATTTCGCACAAAATTTTCTATTAGATTGGCCTTTATATCCTTGATGACAAAATAAAATGACTTCTATTTGGATTTAGAGGAATTTAAGAAAGAGCTAAAAATGGAAATAAAGAATCTCCAAACAGTGGTTGGTTTCAAGTGGTGGAAAATATCTTAAAGATTTGGTGATACAATTTACCTTGTCATAAGTAACAAGAAGAGGTACTTTCAAGTTGCTTGCTACTTACCAGACACATAAACTTCTTTGCAGTGAACCAGAGCAACTAAAAGTTTAGATATAATCCGTGGTTATACTTGAATACAGTTACATTTGTGTAGCTCTGACTGTTAAGTGTGGAATTGTGGTAGTGGTGGAGCTGGTGGTGGGGTGTAGACATCTCATTCTCTAGCAAGTTAAATACTGAAAAATCAGGCTCTTGCTAAAAAGTGCAAGTCAGGGTGACGGGGTTCAGGTTTCATGGATTCATATCCTAGCTTTAGCACCTGGCAGGTTATTTTTTACCCTCAGTACTCTCAGTGCTTAATTCTTCATCTGCAAGACAGAGATAACAGTGTATACCTTATATCACTGGAAGATTAAAATGAGATAATGTATATTATTTGCTAAAAATAGTGTGACACAGAATAAGTGCCCCATAAATATTAACTATGACTATCAATAGCAAGATTACTTTTTTGGTGCTTGAGATAATTAAGGAACAGTCCTTCAGAAGGATGGTTAAATGACTTTTTGGCTAAGAATTTAAACTTGATGATGTAGATTAAAGGGTAGGCGAATGGAAAGAAAGCATTCTCTAAACAGGAACTCATATAGTGACATTTATAAATCAATTACAAACTAAGTTATCCTAATGAGTAATATTAATTCCAGAGAGACATAACAGCTATTTAGGATCAGGGAGCAAAATGAGACAGGAGATTTGAAAAAAAACAAAAACAAAAAAATTACCTGCTGTCAGTCTGATACGCTGATATGTACTTGCAGTGTTTAGGCACTGGAGATAAAGAACAAAACTGACATATATTCTAACTCTGGGTAA